TATTATTAGTGTAAAGTTTATATATTATTATAAAATAATAATAAATTACAGGGAAAGTTATATTCTGTTGATATAAGCAAACTGAGTTAGTGGCGCCATCTAGCGGCGGTGTGTGGATCCTGTCTTTATTTATTTTTTTGACCTCGGCTGATCACATGCCTGTTACATACTGCACCTTTAATGAGCTGATGATCTGAATCAGGTGTGTTTGGTTAAGGGGATATGGAATATGTGCAGAGCTGGTAGTCCTCTAGGAACGTGGTTGAGAAGCACTGATCGATTTCACTTACAGTAGAACATCAAAGAATTTGAACTGTCAGAAAAATATGAATTAAAAATAGAATGAATTCTGTGACATTCTAATTTTTTTGAGATGCGCCGGTGCATTGCGTTATGGGTAATAATATCAAGACTAACAACATATGACTCTTCGATTTTTCTAAAAACAAATAAATCAACACCAAATATTTATTGAAATACATGTTTTAATCCAACGAGCCTGTGGAAATGAGTTTAACCCCTGGGGAGATGGTCTCTTTTTATTTTTGTTTCGTTTATTTTTTTCCGACTGATCGGTGTAAAGCGAGCGGTCCTGTACATGTGTGAATATATCCTCTCCTCTGTCCAGATCAACCCATGATTTTAGTATCAGAGCAGAAACTCTTTATTTACTAGAGCTGATTTGTATGTATAGTCAAATGTGCAGAGATGTTGAGCAGTTGAATAAATAATTCTATGGGAAACCACTTGTGTTTGCTGCTTTTCTGTTCGCAATGAGATAAAAATCTAAAAGTCTAGGCTTGAAAGATATTAGCAACATGCTAAATAATGCTGCTACAAACATAACATGAAAAAACATTAGCAATTAATGCTAATGAAAGCAATGTATACTGTCATTTGCTAATATTTGTTAACGTTGTAACAAGACATTGCTAATGTGTTTCTAGCGGTTTTAATATTTTTTAACATAATAACCGCTAGAAACGCATTAGCGTTGTCTTAGTGTTGCGATTGTTAACCATTAGAATCATTGCTAATAATATGTTAGCACTGTTAAGCAGGTTATGTTGTAAGTTGACAGTAAGATTGGTAAAAATGTTAGCAACATAACTGTAAAATTTGCTAAATGCTAACAACTAGCTTTATGTTTGCTACATGTTAGAAACTTGATGGTGAAATGGTTGTTGATGATATTTTTCATGATATACATATTAGCTGTTAACCTGCTAGCAACTTTGTGCTAGGATTGGTAATTAGAATAGTTAGCATCGTTGACAGAAGGAAAGTAAAAAATGTTAGTGACACAATTTCATGTTAGCTACGCTAAAACTATCTTAAACACATGTTAAGTTGGGCTAGCTACATGTTAGAAACCTGATGGTGTAATGGTTGTTGACAATATATTAATACTAAAATGTTACAAAACATACTAGCAACATTATGCTAGGATTATATGTTAGTTTTTGTTAGCAACATTATATAAACTTTAAAACATTAAAAATGTGTCCATTGTTTGTTTGTATGTATTACCATATTTGCAAACAAACATGCTAATGTGGGTTTGCTAATGCATGCTAGAAACATGTTAAAACTTTTAAAAATATTGAATTGTTATAAAAAAACTACTTTAGGCTACAAAGATGTTAGCAGAATGCTAATCAGTGCTATTAAAAATACAATAATACAAAAACATTAGCAATTCATGCTAGCATGACGTCAATTTAATATTCTAATATTTGCTAACATTATAACTGCTAGAATCACTAAGACATGGCTAATGTGTTTCTAGTGGTTATATTTGTTAACATTAGCGATGTCTTCGTGTTCAGACAATATTAAACATTAGAATCATGCTAACAACATGTTAGCACTGTTAAGCAGGTTTAGTTGTAAGTTGACAGTAGTATTGGTAAAAATGTTATTAACATTATTATAATTGTAAACTGCTAAAATTTGCTAAATGCTAACAACTAGCTTTATGTTAGCTACATGTTAGAAACTTGATGGTGAAATGTTTGTTGATATTATTCATGATAAACATGTTAGCTGTTAACCTGCTAGCAACTCTGTGCTAGGATTGGTAATTTGTGTATTAAATATGTGATGGTTAATATCTTGTTAGCATAAAATACCAATTTTGGTAAAAATGTTGTGCTGTTAGAAATATGCTAGCAACATATTTATGTTAGGATTATGTCAGTGTTAAACATTAGCAACATGCTATGTTACATTTAAGATTTCAATTGCTATTACTTCATAACAGAGAACCGCTAGAAACATGTTAGCAAGTCTCAGTGTTTGAATTGTGTTAAACATTAGAATCATGCTAACAATATGTTAAATAAATTAGAATAGCTAGACATTACCAAATGTTAATTAATGCGTGTCATTTTAAATATGCTAAAAGCAAAATCAAACACACTATTTAACCTTTATTTACCTCAGTCTAGACTTTTCTGTATATTAACCTCTTTTACTTGTGTTTGGTCACCGTTTACAGGTTTTTAATCATGTATTGTTGTTTTTTCAGCTTTATTTCATAATTATAATGCCATGATTTCTGGACAAGCACGTAAACAAAACACAAAGACTCCCTCCAGATGTACTGAATATCAGCTCATTGCTTTATTATCATATCGATTAGCTTCAGATCATCTCAGCAAGTGAGAGAAGTAAATTAAGTATTGTACAATGATGTTTTAATATAAAACAAACCTAGCACTGTACATCAGCACCAGAGATGTGAACCCCTGACTGATCCTGTGTGTGAGACTTATGAGGGCGTACATTTCAGGGCCGGAGTGGGACTCATTTTCAGCCCTGGAGTTTCAAGCCAGACCGGCCCACCTCAGTTCACGACTGTCTATATTAAAATAAGGTCATTTCCACTTCAGTTTCTAGTGACACTATCACGTCTTTTTCAAGAAAACAGCTGCTTTAGAAATTCAAATGTTCAAAAGCCCTAACAGTATTATATGTCTTAACAATAAAGATGAAAATAATAAAAATAATAATAATTTTCCAGGTGAGATTCGAGCACGGGTCTGATGGCTTAGTAACGCAACGTGTTTACCACTGGTCCACTATATCGCTAATGCAGCAGGAACAAAAAAAAAAGTATTGGACTGTGACCTGCAAGACACGGTATTACTTTCTATTGATGGCTTAATCTTTTTCTCCCCTTTTTAGATTTCTGATCAAGTTATGTCAGCTTTATTAATGTAGTGAATCATCTGATTTTCATTGAGCAGGTGTATTATTAATATTGATTATTCGAATTCGCTGTTTGGGCTCGAATGATGATAGTTAACGTTAGTTAACCTGCAGGCTGCATTTTGCTTACCGGGCTGCGAGAAAATAAATAAGAAGAGCGGCGCTGCGGCAAAATAATGAAGAAAAAGAGTGAAGGAGTGAAGCTATGGTCAAATAAATAAATAGATGAAAAAAAGTGCGACTGCTGAGAGTGCAATCAGCTAGGGACACCGGCCCTCACGGCCAAAAAAAACTGATTGGCCCACCGGGAATTCTCCCGGTGCTCCCGATTAGCCAATCCGAGCCTGATACATTTATACCTATAAGCAGGGTGCGAATTACAGGGGGGTTTTGGAAACAGCTCTGCTCGGGTCAGATTTTGTTGCTGATTTCCAATATCCCCATTCATTTAGATAGGGCTTGGTTGAGCTGCCCGAGGGTGTTGCAAATATGGCTGCTGAACTGACTTTCCTTAAAAGGGATTTTGCTGTCAGTGTGGACCCTCTCCACAACCCTGTTGTGTGTTTAACAGTGATCAGCATCTTAAATCATTTAAAGTTTTTAATATTTAGATTTAAAAAAATGTACATTTATATGTATTTATGTATGTATTATACAATCTTTGCATCAAATTACAAAAATAACGAATGAGCGCTTGTGTGAGGTGTGTGTAATGCAGCATCTATGGGAGCAGGACAGTACATTTAACATTAGCCGGCAGCTAGCTCTCACATGGTCGCCCACTGAAGCTAAGCAGGGCTGCGCCCGGTCAGTACCTGGATGGGAAACCACATGGGAAAGCTAGGTTGCTGCTGGAAGTGGTGTTAGTGAGGCCAGCAGGGGGCGCCTAACCTCCGGTCTGTGTAGGTCCTAATGCCCCAGTACAGTGATGGGGATGCTATACTGCTCAGTGAGCACTGTCTTTCGGATGAGATGTTAAACCGAGGTCCCGACTCTCTGTGGTCGTTAAAAATCCCAGGATGTCCTTTGAAAAGAGTAGGGGTTTAACCCCGGCATCCTGGCCAAATCTGCCCACTGGCCTCCTAAGCATCCCCATATTCAATTGGCTTCATCGCTGTCTCCTCTCCACCAATTAGCTGGTGTGTGGTGTGTGGTCTGGCGCAAAATGGCTGCCGTCGCGTCATCCAGGTGGATGCTGCACACTAGTGGTGGATGAGGAGATTCCCCCATTGTGTAAAGCGCTTTGAGTGCCCAGAAAAGCACTATATAAATGTAAGGTATTATTATTATTAACATTATTCTCTCTTCCGGCTGCCGTTACCAGTCTCTTACTATTGTTTTCTTCTTTCTAAAAGTCTTGATAACACCGTCTTGGAGTTTTTCTTTTATTATTTCAGCAGATAGGATGGTAGAATAATGATTTGTTGTATGGGGTATATGCCGAAGCATGCTAATAGGACTTTTAATTTGCCAGTAACCTGGGTTAAGCACAAACGGCGAATGGAATGACAATGCAAAATCCGGCGCGTTTAAGGTCTGTTTTCTTTAAAAATCAGCGATCTCCACGGGCTGAGTGATATCCGATTTAAAGTGGGTCTCAGATTGTACAAGAAGCACTGCGTTACATTACATTTCCCCCACTATATCTTTATAATATGAGCATTTATTTTACCCCAGTATGTTCAATGGAGCTTCTGCGCTAGCCTGCCGATTCTGACGGGCGCGTGCGAGTAAACAGCTTTTTGTCTCGTTTTACGCTTGAGCAACTAAATGAATGCTAAAGTTTATTTAACTGAATGTATTTTAATGACATTACAACATCGATGCTGTATAAGAAACCGTATGAAATGGAAAAAAGTTCACAATAACAGGTCACCGGAAGTGTATCAGCATGGGAACAGCACTAGCTCGGCATATACCCTATTCTCCCATTCACTGCGCTCTGAGTTGACCAATCATGACCAGTTGTGCTGCAGAGAAACACGCAAATGTGAAAAGGCTCTATAGAAAGTCAATGGAGCAGTTTGGATTGTGGCCTAAATGCTCTCTGTATAGTTAATCGTCGATAGTGTGTATGTGGTGTGATGTGAATGAGTGTGCGATGGTCAGTCTGTGGTCTGGAAGCACAGTGGTTCAGTGGTCATCAGTCTGTCCTCCTCCTGCATCTCAGTGAGTGTGTTCTCGTCCTGCAGTCCTTCATTTCTCTCCTCCTGCTCCTGTCCTCCATCCATTCCCATCATGCTCTGCTGCTGCGCCTCGCCCTCATGATCCTCACACTCCTCCTCCTCCTCTGTTTCTCCACGTTCATCGCCATCCACACCAGGAGAACCAGAACCTGAAGGTAAATATAGTTGAAGTCAAAATTATTGGCCTTTCTATATATTGTTTCCCTCATTTCTGTTTGATAGAGAGAAGAATTTTCTAATGATAATAGTTTTAATAACTCATTTCTAATAAATTTGTTTTCTCTTAGCCATGATGACAGTAAATAATGTTTGACTAGATATTCTAGTAATCAGCTTAAAGTGACATTTAAGGCTTAACAAGGTTAACTAGGGTAAAGTTATTGCAATTAGGCAAGTTATTGTATAACAGTTGTTTATTCTGGAGACAATCCAAAACAAGTATTGCTTAAGGGGGCTAATAATATTGACCTTAAAATGGCTTTAAATCAATTAAAAACTGCTTTTATTCCAGCTGAAATAAAACAAATAAGACTTTTTCCAGAAGAACAAATATTATAGGAAATACTGTAAAAAAATTCCGGAATCTGTTCAACATCATTTGGGAAATATTTAAAGAGGAAAAAAGAAAAATTCACTGGAGGGGAAATAACTCTGCTATCATCTATATACTCACTGGCCATTTTATTAGGTACACCTTACTGGTAGCGGGTTGGACCCCCGTTTTGCCGTCAGAACTGCATTAATCTTTCGTGGCGTAGATTCAACAAGATACTGGAAATATTCCTCAGAGATTTTGCTCCATATTGACATGATAGCATCACGCAGTTGCTGCAGATTTGTCGGCTGCACAT